GAGCAGATAGCTGCAGTAAAAAAATACAAAGAGGAAGACCTGTATTGCATCTCACTTTGGACTAGAGCTGAGAAAATGTTCCAAACCTCTGCTGCTGTGACCTAAGCTAGCCTACTACTAAGTGCCATCTGCTCCTTCCGACTACCTTCTTCACTCAAACACATAATATTAGGCAATGTGGTTTACGTGTCTTGCTTAAGCTGCTCCACTGGTGTTCCCAGAGGTCTCTCACTAACTACTGAGTACTAACCAGGACTAACCAGCTGCTGCTCTGCTTAACTTGTGAAAAAATGACAGGATCAGACATTCAAATGCTGGTATGTAAATGAGTCAATAATTGATATTGTTTGGTGCACGACAGACATAATGTAACCAATATAGAAAATGTGTGTGTTGTTAGTTCTCTGCTTTTCTTGCTATGGCAGGTACTGGGAAAAATAGTTAAATTATTGGATCCTTTACTTTCATTCTGAGAATTAGGTAACATTACGACCATTCAACTTGCAACTTGATATCCTGCTGTCTTTGTCCATGTGTCTGCAGCCCGTGTGCACTCCGGCGTCTCAAACTGATTCCAAGAAGACAGTTCGGGTGAGTGTATTCAGTCTGTCAATTAATCAGCATCGAACTGTAATTAATCCCACAGGCCGAGAAGCAGCTGCAGATCAGCGGGATTTTAATGGCGCTAATGTTGCACACTTCACAGCCATCGGAAATTCCTCCAATGACACGTTTCAGAAAGAAAACCAAAACAACAGAGCATAGTTTGTTTTTAACTCACTCCCTCAGTCATAATTAACATCCAAAGACAAAGCATTATCTCTTCATGGATCTGAGCAATAACAACCAATACTTTGTGACCAAAAATAAGACAAACTTGCTCAATTGAAATGTTCCGAAAGAAGATTTAAAATGGAAGGGGTTTCTTTTCAATAGGCTCTTTGTAATTCACCAGAACCTCAACCCCAAAGTTACTCTTTAACAAGGGGACATATGTAAATACTGGCATTGATTGGAAAGTCACAGGGTTATCAATGCACTGAAACCTGTATATAGAGAAAAAAAACTCTACTGTACAAAGAAACACATTCATTCAATATACAAAACTTACTGATCATGTGAAGATAATGAGAATGATGAACTAACATTATACAATAATAAATCACACAGTTTAGACAAAGATTGACCCGGAAAACGTATTACTCAATAGGTCAATCCTTTAGTCCAGACCAAGCAGACGTGCAGATCTGAATACCATGGACACTGCACTGGCTGAAGACAAAAATCCATATATAGACAATAGCCTTAACATTCAATTAAAAAAAAAACTGTAATAAATAGACAAAAAGGAAACACAAATTTTAACAACTGGCAAAACAGCTTCCCTCATGAGACGGAAACCGAGTGTGCATTTGGACCTCGTGGTGGAGCTGCATGATTCAACGCATTCAAATCCAAATTTTAGTTTTCATGGCCTATTGTTTGACTATTTCTTAAAGATTTGTGAATGACACATGCCAGTATCTCTCGTCTTGTTGTCAGGCAGAAGTATTATTTTCCCATTCCACATGAGATTGCACATCCATTATTTATAAGCTGTCAAAATGTGCACAAGTCTAAATATAAGAATCTAATGTTTCCACCAGAATAAATGATTGCTCTACAGGTTAGAACTCTACAAACATGTTCTAAAATATGTGGGAATTGTATATGAGGTAATATTGTCACACATATGCTTTTTCAAATGTAATTCTCTTGAAGTTCAATTTTTTATTCTGAAAATAATCAAATGTTTAAACATACTCAAAAAACAATACAGCACTAGATCATGGACTATAGAATTTCAAAAACAAACGAAAAGAAGTAACACAACGGTGATGCAATGATTAAAACAAGCCAGAAGCAGATCCATTGCTAGAAGGCAACTGTGTTTACCCACAATTTACAGTAGGATCTTATGAACTCAAAGTCTATGTGCAAGAGTAGATGAATGACAGGCAATGCTTACTCTACACAAAATATACAATAAGTTAATAAATGCTTGAAAGAAGTCTTAATTTGGTAAAATGATGCAGAAGCAATGTTTCACTTGGAATGAGAACAAAAAATACAAATCTGGTTTTAATCCCATTTCTATGTGAAACAGACAACAATAAGATAACTAAAATCAATTACAGAAGTAAATAAAAAGAAAGAGATGCAAGAAAGCCAGTATAGACAGTGTCCTACTTTGGCGCCTCCAAAGGTGAACATACATTTCCAATAATCAGGCAATTTTAAGATTATTTTAGATTGGGTTTCAGTGAATGTTTTTGAATCCTACCTTGGAGTACTGTCTTCGAAGACTGAAGCGCTGCACCATCTTGTCCTTTTTCACTTTTTGGTGCCCCTAAGACTACACTAGGCTCTCAAGCTACATCTCCACACACACACAAGCACACACACACACACACTGTCCACACATTACACCGGCAACGCAGATAAAGACTTCAAAAGCAGCTCCTCCCTCATTTACCACACAAAGTCCTTCCCGTCTAATGCAAAGATTTACTCAATTCAGTGATGACGCGCCCGTGCATTTTTCTTCCATACTCAGACACACACACACGCGCACAGCCGCACACACATCTTCCACCGGTGCTCTACGCGCTACTATGAGACCAGCTTGCCTCCCGCATGCTTCCTGTCACAGTGGGGAGGGGTGGTGGGGGTGGAACCAGCTGATGGAGGGTTTTAACGCTTTCCTGGGATAGACCAATACTGGGAAACAGTCAAGAGTAAAAATCCATCCCCGAAAACAAGACCAAAAAAAAGATCGAAAGGGCATCATCATGGCAAACAATAGGGAATTGTAGCATTAAAAAAAAAAAAGAATATTAATTTTCTTTTAGAAAACACTATCCATCATATGTCCATTTTGAATTATGCAACACTAAGACAATATCAAGGCAAGAACTGAGAATTAATGCATTTTTTCCAGGATAAAAGCTTCAATAACATTTTGAATGATTTCACTGCACAAACATAAACAGCTAGTGACAGAGCTACATATTACAACCTATGTGTTTTTCGATCTATCAGAAGCTAGCAAGTAAAAATTTGTATGGAAAATTAATATGTACAAATTTTTGTTTGATGTATCAATTAACCATTTAAGCGCTAGTGTGGTCTGAAACAGAAAAAAATGGAGGCATACAAATTGAATAAAAGATAGAGGACTACTAACATCAATACCAGATATAAGTGTGTGAGTGAAAAATTCAGGGTAACATATTTGGGAAGTCAGGTTGCTGTATAGAAGATGGCCTGTATTCAGAAGCTCAAGTAGAAATGTTGTGACTTCTGCATCAAAAGGGTTTACTGTATGTTTTAATATTGTATGCAACAATTAAATCTATCTTTCAGAAGGTGGTATTAAAGTTTTTTTTTCCTGTAAAATTAGTTTGTAGAGGTTTTGGTTTTGAAAACAAATCCATCTCGATTGATTGAGATTTATTTATAAAGATATGACCCAGTTAATATTTTTTACTGATCCTTAAAAATCCTTAAAACGTATGTAAGATTTTCCATTAACATTGTGAATTTCAAATCCTGACAATGGACAATATACTAGACCAGGTTTAGGTGGGATGCTACACCTCTCCAAGGTCACCATGCTGTTGCTAGGGAAACCTACAGTATGGGAGGGTGTAACTTCCTGTTTGAGGGTCACCATGGAGATGCAGAAGCGAACCCATCGACCTCTTAGTGTCACCTTCAAGGATCTGAGCTGTGAAGGCGTTTCTATCACTGCAGATTTCTGAGGAAGAACCAGAGACGCCTGGGGCTACAGTATTGTCTTTCAACAGAAAAAAGAAAATGATCAATGTGAGGTTCAATCTAAATAAACTCTACAGAGCAATCATCTTATGCACAGACAACTACACATTTATAAAATAAGGAATTTATAAGCTATAAAATGATCTTAATATGGGCATCCTTTCAGTGAAACGAGCTGTGAGCCACTGAAACCACTCCCTGTACCTTTTATTGAAGTAAAGGCGCCCTCTGGTGGCAGCACAAGAAGTCTGTTCAAACCACAATTGAAATTCTTGTATTGACGTATGTTGATTTGGGAATTAAAATGATGCGTCATCAAATCACTCCATGTACAGCCCAAACTGTTGATTCCTCAACAGCAGAACATAAAATCAAACAATTGGAAGACTAATTAAGACAATAATAAAACATAGAAGAGACCTGTGTCCACTGACTAACAAAAGATGGGAAAGAGTCAATTCTTACTTGAAACTAGGGCTGAAACAACTAATCGATTAATCGACGACTAATCGATTATTGAAATAGTCGACAACTATTTTAGTAATCGATTAATCGTTTTCTGGTTCACACAAACTCAAACAGAGCAAAAATGACATGAAAATGTAGTATTTTTGATTAAAACCGACTTTGTTTTTATAATTTCATGAATATTTGTCTGTCTCATCCAATCAGAGCAGAATTAGCACAAAGAGCCTGTTACAAACATTTACTTTAAGTTTACGCCATCAATACGTCCTCGAGTGTTGCCACTTTAGCTTTTTGTGATGAAAAAATAATTCACAGCCAAGCAATTACTCGATTAATCGTAAAAATAATCAATAGATTAATCGATTACAAAATAATCGTTAGTTGCAGCTCTACTTGAAACAACATCAATGCTGAAGATTTCCGTGTAAATTGTAAAGGTAGAAACTGCACAACCTTTTGTTGTTATCTCAAATGCATTTTAAATATGGGTTTGGGTTTGATGCACCAGACATGCTTAACACTTTCTGTCCGTTTTGAATCTTTGTTTTACCCCATCCATGTATGTTTCATGAACATACTCAAAGATCCGAAACCTTGCCCATTCTGCTAAGGGGACGAGACGATGTTGAAATTTTGGTTGATACAAGACCAAATAAAAAATTCTTGGATATGGGCCTGAACAGTGTAAAAAGCACACCTCCCAGAGCTCTTACCCGGTCAGCTTCCTCCGTGGAGTGATACCCAGACGACAGCAGCACGTCACAGGAGACAGTGGCGGGCGCTGGACTGCAGGGGGCGCTCTCTGTGTTGGCTGAGGATGTTCTGGGGCGGCTCACGTGGTGTTGGGGGTCGTGGGTGTGACGCCTGATGGGAACTCTGGGACTTCTTCCCAGCAGCGGGTCCTTGTCCCCGGCCCCAGAGCTGGCCTTTGTGCGGCGGCTCTGCAGGCTGGTGCCCCTCCGCATCATGCCCACTGCCCCTGCGCCCCGTCCCGCGTGAGGAGGCACGAGGTGGGACCAGTCAGGGCGGAGTCCCGGGACATCAGCTGGAGCACACAAGGGGGCGCCACGTCCTGAGATCACAGTACAAGACAACAGTGAATAAACACCAAGGAAGAAAAGTGAAAGTAATATATATTTTATTTTCCTATTAATGAATAATTAAACTACAAATAATTTGCCAGTAAACATTTTAAGTTCAAGGCATGGACGCACAAACGCACGCACACACACAAACATAGAGGTTAGAAAATATTAGAGGTTGAGGTTAGAGGTTGCAAAATATTTCTTGGTTTTCAAATAAGTGGCAATGTATCTTATCTTTACATTTTAGGGCTTTAATTTGTCTATTAAACAGAGTAAAAAGGGTTTCCCTTTATACATTTTGATAAATAATTTGATTGTTTGAAAGCAACAACAAATTACATATAATTTACATTTTGTGTTTGCCCTTCAGGAACACATAATCAGAAATGTTGTCCCGTCTTTAAGTGTCCTGTTGCAACATGATTTTTCTCAAATGACACACCAGAATGTGTTTGTGTGCATGCATTGATAAAACTGATGTTCAGTCATTTCAACGTCAGATTTTGGCAATGAAGTTGTAGCTTAATACTTTTGTTTGATTAATTACATTTTCATTGACCTCTAATCTATACAGCCATAGTCATACTGTAAATACACAAGAGGGGAAAGAATTAAAGCTGAAGCGCCTAACTTTGAAACCACAACAAAAATAACTATGTGATAAAACCCATGTAACAAGTTCTTTTAAGAGATTATTTATTCATCCTGCAGTGCTCTCAAAATAGTTTGCTTCCATCACTAGTTTTCATGTATGTGTATTTGTTGCCATCTGTCACAGCTTAAGATCAGCTTTTTCAGTGAGTACCAGCCCTCACTCAGCCCTCAGCTCCAAGTATGTAACAGATACAATGTTTCCTAATGAGATGAAAATTGAAATTGCTAGAACAAGACTCTTTCTGTTGGGACCAATCTTACAAAGAAAGGACTTTTTTATTTTATTTTGATGTGCTTGCTTGCTTTGTGCTTGTTTTGTGTTCACTTGAGGACGACTAAGATGTTGAAAACAGAGTGAGAAAGGAAAGTTGTACATAATTAGTTGTAATCAGGAAATAAATAAAAATCACCGGCAGCTGACACCACAGAGGAGGATGAGGAGGATGAAGAGGATGAAGAGAAGGAGGAGGATGGTGACGCAGACAAGTGCTTGCTCTGCTTCTGAATGAGCTGTTTGAGCCCCAGACCCAGGGTGGCAACTTTTCGCAAGGGGAACTTCTCCGTTTGCAAAAAACCTCTTTTCATTTGCTTTTTACCGGGCATTTGTTTTGATTCTTGTTTGTTTGAGCGTCCCATCTCAGGCTCCATTTGTTGCAGCTACTGTTTTTACAAGGAACTTAACTTTCATTGGTCGGTGGTTCTAAAGTAGTGATATAGGCATCAAGCAGTTTAGTTTTAATCTTATACATTGTGCACATGATTAATAAATCTTGACTTTTCTCCTTGATTAATAGAATAAAAACAAATCTGCTTAGCTGTGCCTACATCAACAATATTATCACTGATCTTAAATAAATTAAAAAAATATGAATTGTGTTATGTAAATTAACTAGCCTTGCCCTAAAGCTGGGATACCAACATTTAATGAAATATTTTACATAATGAAATAAAATCCTTGTAACTAGTTTCTATCTCAAAACAGTGTATCACTAGTTTTTGTATTTTTTTGGCTTCTGTCATATCTTTAAATTTGATTTTTCAGACAGAAAATGGAAAAAGAGATGTCAGCTAATCCGTTCTCTGCCCAAAGTGTCAACTAGTGACTCACAGGGCTATTTGTTCTAACCATGCAAAAGACTACTTGTTCTAATATGATCAAGAGGGCATGTTGTGATCTCGTTTATTCACAAAATCAGATAATACAAGACCATCTGTTGGAACAAACTAAATAAAGTAGGTACCCCACATTTAACTGGATTTTCCTTCTTTATCAATCAAAGTGCAGCCATGATTTAGAGTTGAAATTTTAGGCTTATTTTAGATTATCTAGAGTGAGATGAGTTCCAAGTATCAGCCGTGGTAACAATTTTCTTTCTATTGGTTCAAAAGCGGATCCACACAGACAAAGGCAGCATAGAGGATGGGGACAGGAGTGCCAGGGACAGCCAGACGGGGCAGAGATGGAGGGTGATCAGAGGGACGCATCTTTCATTCGGGACAGGCGCGCTCATGCAGTTCTACCACAGAAAGAGGAGATCAATCATTGTTTGAGTCATACAGGCCAAAAGATGATAACATGGAAACTACTTTAGGATATTCCCAGGATAAAACTAATTATCGAATGTCCGCACCCTATGCAAATCTGTGACTGCGTTTATATGACTCAATAGAAGGATAGATACATGAGAGAACAGTATTTTTAGAGGAAAAAATGTGACCGTTTGTTTAATGTCTAAACAATAAAATAATAATTACCATTGTTGCCGGCAGCGATCAGGGTTCCATCACACACTCAACTGAACAATCTGTGAAGAAAAAAAAAGACTTACTAAGAAAAATGTAAGTAATTTCTCCATCGTTTGTGGACATGAAAACACCAAACAAGCTCACCCTGGTCCACAAGACATCTCAGCAAACTGATTGCAGGCCAGTAATTAATAATTAAGCACGCCTTAAAATACCACTTTCTTATCTGGTGTCAATATTTTGGGACAAAGCGGCCCCTGGACTAAAGATAAACAGCACATCACAAACAGCTCTTACAATCGTCCTTGGGAAACTAAATAATTAACAGACAAAAAATAAAACCGTCTAACCACATGGATAAAACTCCAGACACAACTATAGACACAGATGAGAGGTTCAGATATTATTTATAGATAAAGATAGATATTTAGATTAGTAGCAGAGAATTATCCAATTGCAATTTTTTTAGATAAACATTATGAGTTCTGAAATCTCACCACAACTTTGGTTTAAAAAAAAAAGTCAATTTGCTGCTTCTCAAAAATTCAAATTGGTTCAGGTTTGGATTCATATTTCAGCCAGAGATGAGACAGAACACGGCAGCATCACTGATCTCCTGCAGAGTAAAGGCTGGAACCTGACTGAGAGACTGATGCTCTGTGTGAACCTTTCTTGCCCCTGTCGCCTCGCGTCAACCCTGCCCTGTATATTTCTCTATTTCTCCTTCATCCAGGGCCAGGCAGCTATGGCTCTGACATGAGATTGAATATAGCCTTGATTGTCCAGTTTTTTAAATCCTCTACAAAGCCTTCAGTTCAGCAGACAGAGACTTATTGTAAGGCCTGTTGTGTAATGAATAGTATTACGGCGACAACTGAAAACAGTTTTAAGTGTACAATTTGAAATATACAATTTCACATATGATGATTGATGATTGTTTAGGTACTGTATGTGCAAACTATAGTTTTAGCAAAAAATTGATATTTTTATATGTTGATAGTTTATTTCAAGCTCCTGTGGACACACCACCTGCAAGAGGATCAGTGCTATGTGAATTGGGTGCAGCTCTGACTGCCACCCCCCCAAACCAGAAATGGATTAAGGGGAAGAAAATGGATGGATGGATGGAGTTTATTTCAAACCTGAAAAACACAATTTCACATCATCAACACTAATTTCATCTCAACCCCCCTCACACACATTTGACACTCAATAAAACACAGAATATAATAAATTCAACATAAAAATTATAATATGTATGCTGTGCAAAACATACAGTAATATATAAGGTAGAATGAGACACAAAAGTACAAAGACAAACAACATACACACACTGTTCCAAACACTCTCTGACCCTACACCCACACCGAAGATATCTTTTTCTGATTTTCCAATTGAAAAGACAGTATGAATGTTTTATTATTCATATTTTGACTTAAATCGGAATAATCTTCAATGAATGCATCCAGAGTGTGGTGTTTTTGCATTTAATGAGGGGCTGAAAGTGTTTATTATTGACGGAACCGTATTGAATAATATAATAGTATATCATTCGATTTGCCTGAAAGTCCTCCGCATCTAAATGGCAAATTCTAGTAATACACAACAAGAATTGATAAATAGTAAAGTGTTGAACAAAATACAATCTATACATTATTGATGACATAATGTATGGATATTGACAACATATATTTGTAACAGTCATAACAAAAGTGCTGATCTGGTGTGGCCTGATTCACTCTCCATTATCTTTATTGAATAAAGATTACAGTGTAAAGTGATTGTGGGGAGATTAAGCCCCATGGTCAAAATGAAAGCAACATGACAAACATACTTAGTTCAAAGCTGCATCCTTTAAACTATTGCACTAAAGCAAACTATGAAAACCATACAAGAAATGATTCAATACAATTGAAGAAAGTATCAACACCAAAATAGAGCACATTCTTGTGATTTCATTTCCTGATAATTCACTGAACTCAAATTGACAACTTTGTTAAGTCCTCAGAGACGACTGCTGTTCTGATTTGGAGCTAAACAAAAATACTTTGAATTGAAAGGAAACAGGACTAAATGTGAGCATCTCTGAGCCTAAAATAACTTAATGAGACAGTATATTGATTATCACTCTATTGGAATTGGTTTGAATCTATTTCAACAAGTTTGTATTTCTAGTATTTTAACAACACTTTTTGAACTAGAGCTGTACTTAACCATTATTTGGTTGTTCAGTTGTCAGCTTATTCTTCTGATTAATCAATTAGTCCGTGAACACTGGATTTGACCAAAACAAAGCTGAAGTGATGGAGAAGATCTGGGCGGCACGGTGGCTGAGTGGATAGCAATCTCGCCTCTCAGCAAGAAGGTCCTGGGTTCCCGTCCGGACCAGGGCCTTTCTGAGTGGAGTTTGCATGTTCTCCCCGTGTCTGCGTAGGTTTCCTCCGGGTACTCCGGTTTCCCCTACCACTAAAAATATGTACAATAGGTCTGGCATGCGCCTCCTGTTCGGCGACCCCGCTCCCATCTCTGTGTGGAGTGAGAGGACAAGTGCCCAAAAAATAACAATTGTAAACCGCTTTGTGACTCTGGTCTGTGAAAGGCGGTATATAAATAAAGCTTACTTACTTACTTATCTTTGGAGAGATGACCTGTTTAACATTGAGTTGTTTCATCAAACAGTTGTAATAGAATTATCCGAGTCATGAAACCTCTTCTTAGCATGTTCAAGTCTACTTAAAGATTCAAAAACATTTAATTTAACTACTAAATTTGTTGATAAGAATTCCAATAATAAATTAGTTTGTTTCAATAATAAATTAGTTGTTTCATAATTAATCAGTTGTGATTAATTGATGTTACAACCCATTTTTTTCAGTAAGAATACTTAGCAGAAAATGATGAAAAAGACAGGTGAAGTTGTGCTTAAATTAAAGTTTAAACAGTTGTAGTCGTTATTTGAGAATATGATTGTATTGTCAAAAAGCAGATGGGTCAATGGAAGTTGGAACAAGCAAAAAGAAGCAATATCCCGCAGTTGTAACAACTAATGCAAACGACACTTGTTTCGTTGGCAAATAGGAATGTGAATCTAATATAATTTTTCTAAATGTAATATATTTTAGATTATTCCTTGTCGTTATATGCCATTTTATATCCAGCTGATTTGAACTATGGCAGTCTTAGCGATATATTATTCAATCATTGATGTACCTTTTGAACAACATACATGAAATAATATGTACATGATGATGATAAATGGAGAAAGGGGCCTTTAGCTGGTGTTGACTGACCTAAAGTGGCGTCACTCGCCTGTGGCCATTTGACACTGAGTCAGACATGCTGTTTTCTAAAGCAGAACATACTTTTATTTGGCTGTAAATATGTCTGTGGCAGAAACAGGGCCGTACAGTGTTCGAGAAGAGTCTCCGCTGACTGAAATAGCCCGTTCTTTGTTTGCTCAGAGCCGCACACGGACCATAGCTGCTCTTTGTGCTGTCCTCTCTCACTGACAAACACGCATCAATACCACGGGAATGAGGCCAGAGCGTTCTGGCAGTAGCCTCATCGCACAAATGAGAGCGCACTTTGTAGCACAAGGGAATCAACGGGACAGAACAGGATGCAAGCAATTATCATAATGATCACAGATGTGTGCGTCAACATGTTCACAACATACATAATACTGTAAGTGTTAGAAACCATGTTATTTTTGCACAGCTTAGTGGCCACACTTATGTGTAGCTATGTAGAGTAGGGGTGTGATGGATTCATTAATAACAGAATGGTGCGGAGTTGCATTCAGGTGGCAGTAAGCATTCATGTGGCAAAAAGATACTAGA